CACCGCCACCTCCGCCGCCCCGCTGCCGGAAGAGAAGGCCGCGCCGCGGGGCCTGCTGGGATACTGGCTGCTGAGGGGGTGTGCAAGGGACCGGAAGCGCGCTGCGGTCCGGCGCGGCAACCCGCGGCGCGGCAGGAAGGTTCCGGGCGGCGCCCCCCGGCGGCGCGCGCGGGCGCGACAAGCGAGGCGGGCGGCCCCGAAACGGCGCGAAACGGCCCCAAAAACCAGAGCCTGGAGCCCGAGCCCGGCAACGGGCGGGCGGAGGAGGCTCCTGCGCAGGAGACGCCCGAACCCCCCGGGCGTTCCCGCGGGAGCAGGGGCTGTGCTGGGAATCCAGCCTGGGAAAACACCACATAAACGTTAGGCTGGACTTACTCTGATAGRGGCCTTATCTATAAGCTSCCCAGGTCCCCAGGCTGGAGCCTTGCAGGAAAAACCATCCTCACCTTGTCCTGATTGAGGCCAGGTGACCTGGTCACGGTCATCTCCAGGGCAGTGCAGATCTCAATTCATTTCCATGTGAATCTCGTGCTCCAGAGGGAAAAAAGCCTCAAACCATGATCAAAACATGGTCGGCACAAGAGGGTCAGCCCCAACCTCTGAGTTATCTCCCACGTAATCACTCTAAGTAATGGAGCCTTATCGCAGTCTGGATTCATCTTAGCATTCCCATCTCTGATTGTCTTGTAAGACGTTATCTCCTAGCCTGAAAAATCCCATTATTCCACCTATCTGTCCCTACAAGTGTTAGAAGCTGCCACCAGATCTTCCTTCTCTTTCTCCTGGAGAAGCCAACGAGACAGAGCTCCTTAGGGCAGCYGTGCCCAGCCCTCGGAGCGCTCTGGAGACTCTGTCCTCAGCCCCTGCCACCACGGCTGCGTTTGAACCGGAGACACCGACACCGGGCCCATTTTTCCAGTGTGTCCCACGTATGCCAAGGCAGTACTCACACAACTTGTGATTCCTGCTCAAATCCGCTTCTCTGGCCCCAAACAGGCTCCCCTGGACCTGTGGGAGCATCCTGGGATGCAGCTTTTACATTCCCTGGGAAGCACTTTTGTTTGTTTGCTTGTTTTTYAGAAGTTGGTTTGCCAGTTGGGGAGTGTTTGGGAATGTTTCACTGCTATTGGGACAATCTCCCCTTTTTTCCTTCAGGAAAATTAAATAAAATAAAGCCTAAACCTGCCAACAGCTCAAGGGAGAGTGATCTCAGTCTAAAATGTGAGCCCTGGCATGTGAGGGCATTGGACTCAAAAAGCCACTTCCCATCTTCGGTGGCTTAAAGTATGTTCCACTTYGTCATCCTAAAGGTCTTTAAACACTTATGAAAACACAGTTTATTTATCCGCAGCCAGAACAGCCCATCTATTACCCCGAAGGCCGAACACAGAAAGTTTCTGCAGAAATTTATTGGTTTCATTCCTACCAGTCTGAACAGAAGTTTTCCACGGAGTCTGTCAGAACACGAGTGCCTCAATTCCAATTTTCCTCAGTCTTTTGCAGACATCAAATTAATTGTGTCCAAAAGCACTTTTACTAGTTACTGAAAAAACAAGCAGCTCCTGGCAGCTCTTCTCGACCACTAGCTATTAACTTTTAAGTCTCCTTTAATACTGGCTTGATTCAATGTGGTAGTTCTCTCCACCAGCAAACTCAGCAGCCAGTGGAGCCAAGAGGAACCAACTCCAGGCAAGAAATATCGGTTTCAAGTATCAGTAGCTCCTACTGATGCCTGGGCAAAGCTTTTCTGCCCCTCGCAAGGGTAATTTCATCGCCACAGGCCAAGAAATGGAGAGGTGGAGGCTGTCCGTGTCTGAGCACGGCATTGCACGCAATCCATCACGGATCACCAAGCACCAAAGAGATGCAGCCAGGTTCTGAACATCGAGCATTCCCATCTCCTGGGCATTGCCGAGGGTCTTCCCCATTGCAAACCACATCACAGACCTCGGTGGCACTTGGATTAGGTGACACAAACTGCATTTGTCTTTCTCCTACCGGCGTTTTCAACTCCAGGCTGAGTGTCCGCTGATGCTCCAGCTCAAAAAGGATTTTAGGGAGCCAGTACAGCCACACACACACACACACACACACACACACACATGCAGTCCTAGCATGAAACAAGCCAGTGCTCTGATCATTTAGATCATGCTGAAAGAAGGAGCAGGCTTCCTCCTGCCGTCACAGCTGTGCGATGGTGACGTTATGATGGTGAGGTTACTCTAAACAGCAGGGAGACCTAAACTGAAGACCTCTGGAAGCAGCTACGCTGGGGAAGGAGGTACCCGTTTCACCCGTCAACAGCCTGATTATAACATCCCGTTTTTGGTTATCTTGCTGCAGATTCCTAAACCTCCATATTCCAAGTTTCACGCACTGGCAAAGCGGTCAGGATTACATCCATCCACCTGCAGCACCACCTCAGCACGCTCCAGATGTGGCCGTGCAGCTGGGCAGCGCCTTCTCTTCCGAGACCACACAGCCTCCCACCTCCAGGTGTTCAAGTCCAGGGCAACACCTGAAAAACGTGGGACAGATTAACAGCCAGGGACAAACCAAATTCCCCCAGGCTTGGGGATAGGTATCCAAAGCCTCAAATCTTATGATAACTGATTACTTCAGTGAAGTGATTATTTCACCGGCCTCCTCGGAGCTAGCCCTGACTTTTCCAGGCTGGCAGCAGAGGGGGATCAGCCTCTTTGCTTTCACCATGCAGCCCTCTGACACGGCCACATCCAGCCCCAAAGCCAGCCCGCTGGGTCYGCCAGAGCTGCTGGTTACAGGAAGCACCATCACACAGCACCGAATTAGAGAGACCACAAGGAAACGGAGGATTATTGCCCGGAGATTAAAGGACACGCAAAAACCACAGGACAAATCAGTGGGGCCTAAGCAATGGCAGCTGCTATTTCGGTCTTTCAAATGCTGGCCTTTTATTTGCCAGTCATGCTGCAAGAGAAGAATTTGAGAGGAATTCTGGAGATGATTGCTCTGTTTTTGACCAGTAACGTGCACCAAAGGACCGGCCCCAAACCCTCCGGATGGAGGGGAGCGAAGCCTGCTGCACCTCAAGGCAAAGCCACTCCAGCCCATCCCGCCTGCCCGCAATCCCACTGGGAAGCACCCACAGATTAACCCACACCAGTCCCGCTCTGCAGACACCTTCTTGGTGCCAGTCGACTTGGGAGAAGGGTGCGTGTTGGGTGCATCTCGGAGCATGAACTTTAAAGGGTGCCAGACATGTATTATCTGGTAGAAACACCAGCAGCACTGTAGTAAAAATGCAGTAAAAATGCAGTTTCTCCACTGCAGCACCAAAATATCTTCTGTATCTTATTGCTATGAGTCTCTGGCTTTTGTAAGACTTGGTTTATTCAGAACTAACTAGACGTGGCCCTGGCCAACCTGCTCTAGGACCCTGCTTGGGCAGAAGGGTTGGACCAGCTGACTTTGAGAGGTCCCTTCCTACCCCAATCTGCTCTCCCTGCAGGCACAGGGCTGTGTCCCTCCAGGAATTTCTGCAGATTCTCCTGYAGATAGAGCTTAAAAGGAGGAGCCCCTTGTTTCAGATGTCTCCRTGAGCACCCGTGAGTTTGTCTAATTGTTGAGGTCTTGTTTTCATTAAGGAATGGCCAGAAGCTGCTCCAGACTGCCGAGGTTTGGGCTGAACTCCAGGGTGCCTCTGTAAGAGATATAGGAGATATCTCCATAAGAGATGGCAGCAGGGCAGCTGGGTTCCCCGAGTCTCAGTCTTTGTACTGCAGCCAGTGGGATGCGATTGTAATGAAGCAATTCCCACTCTCCCTTCTCCCTCATCTTCCTTCCCACGTTCCCTATCACGGTGCTAACGTGTTCCTGTCCAGCTGCAGACACACACCAGCTCCCCTCAGGCACACGACTCGGCTCCAGCAGCTCTCCAGGACGCCTATATAATTATCCGTGCTGCTTCCAGATGCCATTCCCACAAGGATTCCTCCTATTTAATCTCTCCTGGAAGGCAAGGCTGTTTGTGGTGCCAGGTCCCGYGGCCACAGTGCAGCGTTGAGCCTCACAAACCTCCTTCCACCAGCACCATCCTCTAGYTTAGCCTCTGCTGACCTCTTTTCCAGGCCATCAGGTAACTCACTCCACATCCTTCTGCTCGGAGATGCCCTCCCGGACTCCACCACACGTCAAAGCTGAGCACTGACAAAGAAGGATGGCCCCGTCACACGCCGAGCGACAGCAGCCCCCGTGCTTACGGCACTAGCTCGCGTCTCCTCTCCAAAAACGGCCCCTTCCACCCAACCCGCGGCGTTGATTCAGCCGTGACTCAACGGGAAGGCGGCCACCTACGGAAAGGGCTGCTCTTAGCTTGACACGAGCTGCAAGAAGCAACGGCGAAGGAAATAAAAGCSGAGTTTCCCTGGACGGACTGGCTGAAAAACACCCCCTAAGCCCTCACGTGCAGCAACATCTCCGTTAACGAAGCGCCTGGGCCACCAACTCRGCCACATCCAGAGCAGGACTGGGCTGGTGCGGGGCAGACCTCAGCTGCACGTGTTGCTCCATTGATCCCTCCGCAGGGAATGGGAATTGCGGGCTGCCCCGCGTCCCTGCGGCTCCGGGAGCAGGCGGGGAGCGCGTCTGTGGTCTGCTCCGTCATGGATAGAATGGTTTCATAGGAACGGGGCTACGCTGCGAGGTGTGACTCGAGGCAGGGCTGCTATGGCAAGAGCTCAGCTTTGAAGGAAAAAAACCCACCCACCAAACCTATGYTTGCATTTTCTTCATTAGCTCTTCACCTGCCACTGCCAGAATGAAATCCTCGCTCATCCGAGGACACCTTCCTCGCCACGGTTTAAGCCAAGGGCTCCAGGAGCTCTGCAGGAGCAGCCCAGGGGGATTCAGCCGCTGCAGATTTAGCCTGGAGGGGCCTGGCCACCATAATCCATCACTACCTACCACATAACGAGCCCTTTTCCAAAAATATTTAAGTGAGATCTCTGTCTCCTGTCTCAAACTAACTGCCCCAAACTCAAGAGTTAATTTGGYGAATGGGGACTCTGGGGGATGTTCTAACCTTCAGCCCATAGGGATAAAAATGTAACTGAATAAATTTGCTAGTTCTTTATCTTCATGCTGCATCATCGTGCAGTGAATTTCAAACCGGCACGTATATTTTAGTCTAAAAAACTCCTTTGCATGACACTGAAATAGACCCCAGCCTATACACACCCGCTGCCAAGACAAATGCATGGTTCAGCAGCAAGGAGGATATAAAAGACACCCCCGCTACGAGCGTAGGAGGCAGAGGATATTTCAGCGTGGCAGTGGTTACACTTTTGGCAGCTCTGCTGCAATAAACATTGTTTTCAGAACCTAAAAATATTCCCCGTGACATGCTTGGTTTCAGAGGAGCTGTGCTATGGGTCAGGGATGGCAAAGAGGGCTCAGGAACATGGGGGGACACAGAGGAGCGGGAGTTAATGTCACCTCCTTTCAAATGGGGCATTTTCCCATGGAATGTGGCACGTGCTCAGCAGTCCCTGTGTGTCCCTCTTCCAGGATCATTGCCACGATAACCAAAGGGAGTTAAATTTCCCCAAAGGGGCTGGTTGAGGCCTGTGAGCAGCTTGGGAGCAAGGGAAGGAGGCTGCACGGTCAGGGCTAGAGCCCGAGGGCTGCAAGGAAAGGCTGAAATGAGAACAAAAGCCCAGATTTTGCTCTCACTGTTTCAGGGCAACGAAAACATGGGCGACGACAGGTAACAAGAAGGGAAATGAAGAAAGGGACACGCTATTGAGGCAGACCACGTTTGAACAGCAGAGCAAACACAAAGCTGTATTTCATGCAATAAAATTTTACAAAACACTTACTTGGTGCCGGGTATGGGCTTCTTCTCAAGCCCCAACAGAGTCCTGGTCGCTGTGAAGGCCAGCTGGATGCCACGGGCTCAGAGGCAGTGTGGACACTAGAAATTCCTGCAGGTGTGGAGGGCAATAAGGGGGAAAACACCAGAGCACTGCTGGTTTGCAGTGCACTATGCATCAATATCTATATCCAACTCAGGAGCACAAATCACCTCAAGTTACCTTGGCCACGGCGCCCAGTGCATCCTTCTCCAGCGAAAGAGCGTGGTGGGAATCAGCAGAGCCTGTAACTGCTTGGAGCAGACGACGGAGCTGCTCACGATGGTGGAAGGAGCCACTCGGAGGTAATGACGGAGCGAGGAACGGTAACGGCAGCAGGCACTCGATAAAAAGCACGCAACAAAAGGAAAAGCTTTCTCCATTACAAGAGGAACGGATGTTTTCCGTTTGCTTCCTTTGGTTCAGAAATGCACTTAGCTGTTTGGAGAGACCTGGAGTGCAGCTCGCCAGCGTATCCTACAAAAGCTGCTCTTGGCCTGCGGGACGAGAGCATCATTTTCCCACTGGTGAGATCACAGGCAGGAGAGTTGGTTTTCTCTTTTAATCTTCCCTCGATGACAGATCTGAATGGGGACCCATCCCCTCTCCAGGCATTTTATTTTCTTGAGGAGAAACATCTGCCTGATGGTGGACAGAGCTGCTTGGGGAGCCTTGACGTGGTTGGAAAAAGGCAGTAAAACACGTGTATTCCCCCTACCCACTGTGCAAGTACCTATGGACCTGGCTTTATTTTGTGACGGTCTCAGAAGGATGCAGTGATGCTGATACCCAAACCTCGGCCTAGGCAATTCCTGCGGCTGGGAGCGAGGGGAGGCTCAGCAGAGCTGCAGGGGCTAAATGCCACGCGTTGAAGCGCAGAGGAAACGTGAATGAACCGGATGAATGGAGGCAGAAATGAATGAGCGAGGGCAGAGCAAGTGAATGAATATTGCATCGAGCCGGAGCCTTTCATCCCGGGATGCGGGAGCCGTGTTGTGACTCCCGGGAGAGACGCCCGGTCGGAACCAATTAGGTTGTTTCCCAGGCTGCTGGCGGAGACGTGGCACGTGGAGTCACGTTATTCACGGCATAAGGGCTTTCCCCCGAACGAGCCCCTCCGATTCCACCTTCACCAACGCGACACGTTATTGCTTCTGGAGCCCTTCTTGCTCTCGCTATTCCAGCCACTGAGCAATCTCCATGGCAACGGCATCCCGGGTGCTCCAGGCCTTTTCCTARCCCCTGTCATGCTCCGTCCGGCCGCACTGGCTCCTAATTGAGGGAGACAAGCGGCAGGGAGGCGGCGGAGCCGCTCGGCCCAGCGGGGCTAAGGGACACCCCCTGCTCCGCGGGCTCTTCCATGGGCAGGCACTGCGGGGAACCCGGAGCTGCACGGGCATGGAGCCTGCAAGCAGCTATGGGGATCTGCAGGGAGACTCAGCACATGCTGAACTGCAGGGGGAAAAAAAAGGAATTTGGACAAGTGTCAATGCACAGAATTAGCTAAACCCAATGAGCAAGAGATGGGTGGTTTAAATGAGGATGATTTAGGGCAATCAGAAGCAGCCCAGGAGGTGTTTGGGGCCACAGTGACTCCCCCAGGAGAGCGGGCAGGTGCTGCTGGCCCCTTGACAAGGCAGGACAGGGCCAGCACAGAACCTGGATGCTCCGGGGAGCAGAGCGAGTTCAGCTTCACCGTCCCTTTGTTCGTGCTTTGCGGGATGAAGCGCATCCCTGTTCTCTTCCTTTTCCATGTTTGGAAGGAAACACTAGCCATGCTGAGGGCCATCTGGTCTCGGGCACGTGGAGGCACGTTGCTGCTGTCCTCACAGCACTGCTGCTTCGGCCAGCGCTGCCTTCCTCTCACTCATCCTCTGCCCATGGCTGCGAACAGCCAGTTCACAAGCACTCATCTCCATCCAACACAGTTGCACTAGATTCAGCACACTGCACACCAAATCCGGGTGCCGGGCCTGCTTCCACTTGCATTTCCCAGAGGGAATGTGGGCGCTGGATTCAGCGGTTGTGGGGCTGCACCCAACCGAGGTACCAGTCTGCACATGGGGCCAGTGGCGGCTGCTCTGCTAACGCTGCTAGCGGCTGCGCCTGCCTTTACAGTGACCTGAATTGAGATGTTGCTAAGGGATGCAGGAGAAAAGAGGGATGAGRTACCTGTTCTCTACTGCCAGGCTGCTGCTGGAGCGACTTCCCGGCTGGTGGTCAGTCCCCAGCGCTGCAGCAGCCTGTGATTTGCATCTGCACCTTGCTCTGAGCCCAAGCGCTGCAAAAATGCAAGTGTTCCCAGGGCATCGCACGTTCAGGACCTGCATTGCCCTCCTCAGCACGAAATAGGGACCATGGAGCCTCCCCGCGCTGTGGAACAAAGGGGATGCTATAYCCTGCAGGAGCAGAGTCTCTGCTTTAGCTCCCTGTGCGGGTGCTGTGACGCAGCTGGGTTTGGAGGGGAGGTCTGCTGCCACTCTGCAGACACTTGCCCGACTAGTCAGGAAAGCAGGTTACACTGAAGGACCCTGGCTGCAACCTTGGAGGGGGAACTTTGTTCATGCCCAGCGGCCTTAGTTCCTCAGGAGGGACTGATATTTCAGGAGATCAATTGAGGATACAGCTATAACTCCTTCAGTTGCCCCAAAAGAAGCACTTACTTTGATAGAGATTTTTGGTTTACCCTTCARAACATCCACACAAAATAGGTGTTTAAGATACTAATGATGCAATACCTGGACTAACGATGCAAAACCTGGCTTCTGAGGGAGTTCCTGTCGTCTGTACACACCTTGGGCACATCCACGTGGTGATGGGGATGCAGCATCGGGATGGACAGCTCGTTGCAGCTGGCTCCATCCCGCTCGCTGGCCAGGCTCACACCGGGAGTGASACAAGGGATGGAGGGCAGTGTGTCTATACGGGTTCAGAAGGGGACAAGGCAAATTCATGGAGACAAGGTTGACCGCAATGAGATGCAGTGGCCCCAAAACAACCTCTCTTGCAGGAATTCCCTGAATTCTTATTAACTGGGAGCTCACAGAAGCAGCCATGGGCACAACTCCCCACCTGCACTGCACAGGCTCCAGCGGCAGCCCTGGCTTTCCAGCACAGACACAGGCCTCCACGTGCACCACGGTGYGGGGTCAGCACACCAGGGAGCACAGGCCCCGTCACTGAGGGTGCTGCTGCCCTGCCAGGCTGGGCTCATCTTTGGGGAGAGCAGCCCGAGAGCAGCCAGAGTGCAGGCACCAGCTTGCTTCCACGCAGCCCGCTCCAGCCTGTGGCATCTGCGCTGCCAGTTGCACCCGCCAGGCCCCGTGCTTCCCGGGGAGCATCTGCAGTGCCAGGGAGGAGCTGCTCCTGGGCAGCGTTTCTGGGGAGCCGCTGCCGGTGGGTGGCAGTGCGAACCAGCAGTCCTGCTCCGGAGCCACCGGGAACATCCCAGGCCGGGAGCAGCCGGAGCGGAGCCGGAATGGGAAGCTTGGCCTGCGTGGAGGGCAAGGTGGTGCCGGGGGCATCCGAGGGGCCAGCAACCCCTGCAATGCAAGTGGGCAATAGCCAAGGCTTTTGGTGGCTGCTGTGGGGCAAGCCAAGTGCAGCATTCACCTCCCTTCATGTTAAACCTGCCATCACTGCCCTCCTTCAGCACCGCAGCAGTGTCTCGACCAGTAAAAGCCTCTCTCCCTCACTGTGCAAAGGGAATTTGGGGCTCTGAAGGGAATGTAAGGCCTGCCTTAGGGCTGGCAGCACCACGGGAGCCGCTACCTGCTCAGGACGAGCCTTGCAGCTSAGACAGGAAAGGCGCCGGGTCTCTGCACAGCCTCTGCAAACCTGTCGCAGCCAACGGGTGTTTCCTCTGGCAGAGAAGCAAAAGGCACCGGGATCAACATCTCCATGCAGGGCATCCGGGCTGGCAGGAACGCAGCCTCACAYGGAGCATATTCCCATACGCACTTCCATAAATCCCTCCATCCGACGCGCTGGGGAAGGGGGAAGAGCTTCGATCCAGCCCCTCTGCAGAAAGCGGATCAGACTTGCTCCTAGTGCTGAGCACTCTGTAATTACAGTACACCCCGCTTAATCGGGATGTGCTTAATTGGGAAATCCACTTACCAGGATGTCGCCAAGGGAACTGACTTCAGCTTGAGAACACTTAAGCACAGCGCCYGCCGCTTTATAGGCAAGGCAATTCTCCTGCAGGGAGATGCCTTCAGGTGCCTGCATGGCACTCATTCTTCCCCCAGCATCCCACGTCGCTGGCTGCTTGCTCCTGCACTGGATTCCAGCCTTGCCCGTGAGCAGGACACAGGGAGCAGCCGCCCGGCCYGCTCGCTGCTCCRCGCTGCACCAGCTGCAGGCTGGCMCTGCCAGCTGCCCTCTCGGCCGGCCCGCTGCACCCAGCGGGGCACCCCTCCCTGCTTCCATGCTGCTTCCCACCCGGCATTTCTGTTGATCCTGACAAGATGCTGAGTCTTGGCTAAGCTGTTCTTCAGCACAACAGAGGCCCGGGGTGGCCAGGGCCTGAGTTGGGACAGGGTGAGAGCTTTGRGAAAAAATCAGCATCCTTTTTTTCCAAAATCAGCATCCTTTCCCATTAATCCTCCTGGTTATTTACCTCTCTCTACCCTCCAGCAGTCAAAACACCAAATATCCAAGAGAAGAGAGGGAGCAGAGKTGGGAACAGCCATTTAAAGCTGCACACTGAATGGAGCACTTGGAGAGGCCATTGTTTTGCCAGGTTTCCTAAGGGAAGAAGGTTTATGTGGCCTCCCTACGTGTTTGTGTGTGCATGGGGGTACATAAACCTAACAGCTTCTAATAGCCAACAGCCCCCATACCTTCTGCCCCTGAGGACCTCCTTCAGACAAACTGCACAGAGAAGTAGCTTCTTCAAAGATAACAAATTCCCACAAGTTTTGTAATAGTAACAACCAGGGAAGACAAAACTTGTGATACCCAACCCCACCTTTGCTTTCAGAGACTTCTCATGGGACAGCACTTCTGCAAGCATGAACCCCACCAAACACATTCCCATGTTGACAGAAGGTTGCTACCAGCTCCAGGACCAACACTCCTCCAAGCTTTTGGCATTTCCTTGCTTATCCCTCTCCTTTTTGCTCTATCTGCATTTTTTCAGACTAACTGAACGAACTCTGCTCCCTTTTCAGAAGATGAGCCCTTGCATAGATGTCTTCGCTACGTCTGAATCACGTGGCAACAATACAGCAAAACTGTTCAGGACCTTGCACTGATGTTTTCGTTACCACCAACCACTGGGAGCTGGAGGGAGTAAAGCTGAACTCTTTTCATGTGTAATGATTGCAGACAGGCCTGCAGAAAGCATGGGAGAATCCGACAGTGTTGTTTGCATCTCAGGCCCTACAAAATGCAATAGTTTGGCATCAAATGAAGGATTTTTTTTTTTATGGCTGCATGTGTTTTGTGCTTCTCTGAACAAGCCAACCTCCAGATTAGCTACACTGGCTTTTTAAAGCACTATAAAATATGCAAGGCACTTGCAACGTATAGTAATTTCTTTAAAGGCAGGAGGCAAGTGCTGAAACGTCTCCTGATCTATTCTTTTGCATYTCTTTAACCCGTGCTGGGAGAAAGGAAAAATGTGATGTGTCTCCTCCCTTTTAAGCTTATCTGGAATCTGGATAATTATGGTGTCTGTGGAGTAAGGTCTG